GAACGTAAAATTCTTGCAATTTGCCTGATCATTATCTTGATCCATGTGCTTTGTTAGACAGTTGACTACTACAGTGTACAAATATAATTTAAACTAGAGATGGCTCATTTGTTCTGGCAGTCTCTTCTTATGAGGGCATCACATACAGGAAGCCTCTGATTAAAAGGATGTAATAACTTTTTGTATATGAAAAGCCATTCTCCCAGAAGGCCACTGTGGAAGGTCACTTCCACAATCATTTTGAAAGTGCAAAAAGATATGAAGGGTTTCTTTTTTCCTAATTCTATACATTAAAATTAATTAGATGTATGTTTGCTAGTAGGAAATGGCATCATATTTTTGTAACAGATATTTAGACTGTTCAGCAGGGGGAGCAGCAGCAAAAGAATTGGGGATACACTCTGACCAAAAACTCAACACAATGACTTAGTAAAACATGGATAACTGTGAAAGGAGAGCTTAGAAAAATTACCTTTTAAAAAAAAAAGATCAAAATGTGAAGTTTCTGGGCATCATCATCATCATTATTAAACAAATACATCTTTTTGAAGCTGTATAATAGGCGTAATTCTATTTTCTGTATATTGAAGCCACCTTTACTACAGTAACATACCATCCAACTTTGGGTTGAGACACATAGTCCAAACTGGACTATTCTGAAACCTGTATATTTCTCATCTTGATTTGTAAATTCTAAAAGGTTTATTTCTGTCTTAAATATTTCATATACCTTGAAAACCCTGTTAGGGTTGCCATAAGTCAAATGCAACCTGACAGCACATTAACAGACTGAGGTCCCAAATGTCTTACTATGAGAGGTCCTAAGAGCAAAACATTATGAATGAAGGCAATCTATCTGTTCTGGCACATTTTATCAGTATGGCCCAGATGATCTTCTAGGGAGCCAATACTCCACAACGCCTGGCTCTAAGCAAGGCCTGGTATCATCTACCTTTTAAGATGGTAATATCTATCGTTACTCTTTGCTACATCATGTATATTTTGTTACACTAAAGGACGGTTTTCATTTCAACTGCGACACTCTAGCTCATTAAGCTAAACGACAGATTTATGCTAAACATAACTTTTCATCTCAGCTGGAACCAGCCTATCTGTGTCCAAAGCTGACAAACCAGCCAAAGCCTGGTTAAAAAAAACACCCTGTGCTATAAAGGCCACCAGAGTTTCAGTACTGGACCAAAGCATATCGTCAAACTACAGAAGGAGTGTAACTCTATCCACAACAGAATGGAATTGCCTCTTAGACGTAAGGACTATCTCACTATTGTGTCTCCATCTTGTGAAGATTCATATATATATATATATGAATCTTCACAACATATATATATATTCTCCTCAGACTGAAGAAGCTACTTGGATGAGCAGTACGTATATATATATTAGCCTTCATCCAACTCTTTACCAGTCATCATTTCAGCTCCTGCATGGCTCACTAGAAACAGAAATAGAATTTGATCCAGTCCTCAGACTGCTAAAACTTCGTTTCAAACCCTCTGATAACAGTCAACGGAGATTTTATACATGTTAACAAGCATGAGGTAGTAAGTTGTTGTGGAATCAACTGAAATTTCTAATTTTACAAAGATTTACCTGCAACGGCACCATTGGTAATGCCCTGATTGGGAACTCCTGAATATATCCCAGCAAAATCCCAAGTATATCCACTGAGAAAGCATGTCAGGGTTGCTAGTTTGATTACAGCCAGCCTTCTAGGAGCTCACCCAGTGACATTATGAGCATGTATTGAATGACCCCTGTCCCAAACAACTGTGCCATACCTAGTGCCCAGGTGACAGCATTCCTATCTCCCTGCTAGCATAACCCTGACACGGTAGTTGTGCCTAATTTGACTGTTCATCCTCTTTCAGAAATGAGATGCATATGGCCACTGTTCTCCATTCCCAGCTAGTTTGTGCTTATCCTCAGTCGCTGAATGCCTTGGTAATGTGTTCCCGGACTCTCTTCACCCTGGAGTGATGCTCCTTCACAGCAACTTGTTAAAAAAAGTATCCTGTGCCATATATCTGTGAAGACTCTCAGTCATCCAGGCGAGGCTATCTGGAAGTTGAATCATGGCAATTGGACTTCTTTCTTATTAGGCTGAAACATTTCATTGCTCATCCAAGTAGCTTCTTCAGTCTGAGGAGAGTTAGTAGGAAACCAGCATGGAAGATATATCAGGGATCTCCTACCAACTTTCCTCAGACTGAAGAAGCTACTTGGATGAGCAGTGAAACGTTTCAACCTAATAAGAAAGAAGTCAAGTTGCACGACTCAACTTCCAGATATCCTGTGCCATGTTTGTACATACTGACATAATCTTCGCTGCCTTCTTGGATATTCTGGTAATGTCATCTTCCATGTGGTGGAGACACCAGAATATTTTCCACATTTATAAGCACTCTCAGTGAATACCAAACATACCACCAAACACAGGGCAGGCAATATAGGGATAAATCTCTCCAGTCTGCCATACTATGCAGTTTCCTTAGCAGCAGGGGCATTACATCTTCCTGCTTTTATGCACTGCCTCCTTCAACTGTAGTAATGTAGGACACTTTGACTTCCCATTATGTTCCTTCCCTCTTGCACTCTCCTTCTTTGAGCAAACTTTTGGTGATTAAGAACTGGGTACTTTTAGCCTGCTTCATCAGTGACTCCCTGACTATCCTGTACCGCATTGTCCTGATAATATTTGATAATATGTATATGACAGCCTTGGTTTTAACCATTGGCTCATTCCCCATAGGCTGCCAGGAATATCTTCCAGGTAAGTAAGCAGGCACCCAGAAGTGAGACCGACTGCCCGCATCCTTCCTTTAGTAGTCCATTATGTTTCTACTGTGGACACACAGAAATATCATTTGTCATCTTCTTACCTGTGTAGAAATCAAGCTAGTTGCAGAGGAGTCTGCTTGGTTTCTGTTCTGAAGCCAGAGCAAGTCTCCACTGCCTGCATGCCGAGCATTAAAACACAAATGACTGCTAGAGGAGGGTCAAAATGATCTGTGAGTTTAGTGTAAGTTCCCTTGATTTCTGTGCTGGATGGAGGTGAAGCCCTGTCCCACATATCCACGACCAAAGTGCAGCCAATGCCAGGGATAAAAATTGAGCATTTGTATCTAACCTTCAAAGAGTTTTGTTTGCACACTTCTTACTTGTAAAAGGAGGGAAGAACACAATGTTCCAACATTATTTCCATTATGAGCAAAAATCAGATAATTTTGTTCAGGTTTTCACACATGGGGCAATGGAATAGAATTATAGACCTTGGTTAGAAATCTGTCCACACACACTTTAAAAACCAATTTAAAAAAGAAAAATATGAGTACTGTACATTTTAGTACTGCAGCATGACACAATTTCCAGACACTGGTTGATTAGTTCATATATTTTGTTTCCTTATTTTCTGTAAACGATGGTTGTAGTGCTAAACACACTTACAAAGGAGTAAACACTGCCGAATATATAGATGTGAATAGCTGGGAAACATTAAGAAACAGAGAAAAGCATACACACCCTGCTTTTTCCTACTTCTCCTGCATTTTTCATCCTAACCCTTCACTTCACTATTGACATAATAAAATGGAAAGCATTTTGCTGCACAGGCTTAAGTCTGCATACAGGACTCTGGGGGAAGGGAGAAATAGCTGGTGGGCTGGTGATAGCAGAAAACCAGAGTGGGAACCCAATATGGAATCAGGAATGCAATTTGGCTAAGATCCAGTATGGCTTTTTCTCCTTCAAAATATAAGTGCTCAGCCTAAGCATGCATTTAAAAAAAATTTAATTATCCAAAAGTTTAAAATTGTTCTAACAGACATAGCTGGCACCTTAAAGAGATTCTTAAACTGATATATCAGTACTGTAGTCTTCTGTAGTTTGTACATCTGGCATGGAAAACAACTGCCTATTAATGATTGCAAGGCCCACCTTCTGAAGCAGATTTCCTATGTTCCAAACTCTCTGGATGCCTGTTACAGCCATTGGTTCCAACAGGCACCTATGACTACAGAGATTGTTTCCAGTTAGCTCTTCCTTTCTGAACAATGGATACATTGAGAATTGCTGCCAATGGCCCATGCACACTCTGGCAGCTTCTTGATTTTTGTGGCAGTAAGAAATCAATGTTTTGATTTGTTTTCTACAAATTTTATTAGCTAGGAAAAAGGAAGAATAGGAAAATCAGCCTGTAGATACTTCTGGTATTTCTGTGTTAGGCAATATCAAAGGTATATAGAAGGGCTTTTCCTTTTTGGATGGCCTACATTTAAAATAATTTTACAAAAATTTAAAATAAAAAAAAATTGATTTCCTGCTTCACATTGCTTTTAACATCAGTGGGACAGTTGAAATCTGAATAAAATAAACATTTCTTGCATATAAGCCAGAAGGCATAACTAAATACAGTGGTACCTCGACTTAAGAACTTAATCCGTATTGGGCCTGCGTTCTTAAGTCGAAACGTTCTTAAATCGAAGCACCATTTCCTATAGGAATGCACTGAAAACCATTTAATCCATATCTGCTGTTTTTCATTCTTAAATCGAGGTGCTGTTCTTAAAGCCAGTTAATCTGTATCTACCACTAGCAGGTGATTTTTTTTTCTTCTTCTTTTTAACTAAGGTGAACCTAGGTCAAAATAAGGGCAGGAAAGTTTTTTTTTCTTTTTTCTTTTGGGTTCTTAAGTCGAGGCTCCGTTCTCAAGTCGAAGCAACTTTTTGCAAACGGAGCTGTTCTTAACTTGAATCGTTCATATGTAGGGATGTTCTCAAGTCGAGGTACCACTGTATGAGGGATGGTTGTGGTTTTTTCCCGTTTAGAAAAGGGAACACTGAGATATTAACCTCTTCCATTTGGAAGAAATGAAAATATATTTTCCACCTAAGGCACATCAGTTTTAGCTCAAACTTAGCACATTCCAAAACTGTAATTATCAGTGGTGGTGGAATTACTTATATGACCAAAAATGCCCCCACCTTGTATTTGGTAACATGTACTGGGCCTAGCTGCAAGATCCATGAAAATTCCTCTCAAGTGCTCCTCATGACGGATGTCGTGAGTTTGGTAACGATTCACTGGTGCCCCAACTTTTGAGAGGTAGAAGAGAGGCCATTATGAGCAGGATTATATGGGAGACATTTCTGTCAAGGCAACATTACAAATGACTTTTTTGATTGCCTCTCATAGTACAAAAATGTACTGTGGCTGCATTCACACATCAGACTAAGCCAAAAATTATTCTTAACCACTGAATGTTGAACAAGCCGAATTAATCTGAACAAAGAAAGTATGGCGAGTCTGACCAACTGCTGGTCTGTTTACTTTTCAGTTCTTTGTGCAGTTATCTAGATGGCATCCTCAATGCCCTAGCAGCAATAAAAAGAAAATACTTCTTCTGTTCATTTGTGGCAACTGGGAAGAATCTTTTTCTAGGCGGTGCATTTGTAACTTTGGGACAAGGGTGCCAATGCGGTTAAGAGTGTGGTTTTTGGGGACGTGTCTTATTTGTATGTGGAAAACGAGAGCATCTTTTGTGGAAGGTACATATGAAGAGTTCTGGCAGATACCACCGATGTGTTTGCATGGGGATTATTTTTCTCTTGGATGTGTGTGTAGGCTGAAGAGGTATTTTGTGGGAAGTGTTTTAAAATGTGTGAGATGTGCTATGCCTTTTCCATGCTGTTTGTTGGTTATGAAGACAATTTATTTATTTATTTATTTATTTATTTATTTATTTATTTATTTATTTATTTAATTTATACCCCGCCCCTCTAGAACATGTCTATGTACGGCTTCTGTGCTATGAGTTTTGTCTTCTTTTTTCTGAGCAACTCCAGTATTATTTTTGTGAAATTGATATTTTCTTCTGCTATGTAGGTGACATATATTTAGTCTCACAATTGGAGGTTGGGCCCCACCTCTCCCTGTGCTCAGACTCCTGGACAAACAGTTTGTCACATAAACTTTAGTCTCTGCAGTTTGCTTTTCTGGGTGTGCAGCTAAAGCAGAAAATGTGATTTGCACCCCTGTTGCAATTATACTCCAATTTGCCACAAACCCCATGGCAGCCATTTTGCAGTTGTGTGCATGGCTAGGGTTGCCACACTGCAGAGGAACAAGATGAAATGGTTAAATGTTGGTTCTAGGAAACTGCTTCGGAGTTGCTATGCTTCCCCAGATTTCCAGGAGAAAGATATATATCAGGGTGAGTGATGATGGAGAAAGAGAAATACTGTTTTTTATGTGTGACGTGGCTTTAAAGTCTGGGAAGCTATCTCTGACCATTCCCAGCTGGTACCCATGTCACTAGTTCAGCATGGACGTGTTTGTATATGAATTGTATTTGTATAATGTCAGCATACCAAAAAGCCAACAACGAGAAGGAGAGTGGGGAGGGAAGCCATGGGCGCTTGCACTTGGGCCCATCATGCTATCAGGAATAAGGCAGGAAGCTGGCTGCAGAACTGCAACTCTTGAGCCTTTTTATTTCAAAAACCCTGACATCAGCAAACTGCTTTTACAGATTTACTTAGCAATGGAACAAAGAAAATGTTGAAAGAATGATCAGTAATCAAAGCTTTGTCCCCTTTAAAGGCTTATCATTTCCTACTATGTGGGTATAACAGTCAAGGTTACATCCCTCCTTAGCTTAAAGCACTGCCTGCAGTAGCCAGTCCTTGTTGGCTGCTACAAAAGTACACCTAGGTCCCTTAAGGTCTTTCTTTTCATGCAAACAAATACAAGTGTTCTGGTATGGGCAGAATTCCAGATAAGGAGGAGTTGAGTACAGGAAAAAAAGTGTTGCCAGGGAGAATGAGGAGCATAGGGAAATGGGAGGAGGGTAAGAAAGCAACATCAGTTTATCCTGAGGAACAGCTCCTTTTTAAGCTGCTCTTGCCCCACATCTCTGTAGATTGGCAAAAAGCATTGGCAGCACACAAAAACACAGCAGGGGGAAAGGAGGATTCCAGGTTCTTACAGAACAACGAAGCATAGGTAAAGGTAAAGGTTCCCCTTGACAATTTTTGTCCAGTCGTGTTCGACTCTAGGGGGCGGTACTCATCCCCGTTTCCAAGCTATAGAGCCAGCGTTTGTCCGAAGGCAATCTTCCGTGGTCACATGGCCAGTGCGACTTAGACACGGAACGCTGTTACCTTCCCACCGAGGTGGTCCCTATTTATCTACTTGCATTTGCATGCTTTTGAACCGCTAGGTTGGCGGGAGCTGGGACAAGCGATGGGAGCTCACTCCATCGCGTGGATTCGATCTTACGACTGCTTGGTCTTCTGACCTTGCAGCATAGAGGCTTCTGCAGTTTAGCCCGCAGCGCCACCACGTCCCCTTACAACGAAGCATAGTGGGATATAAATCAGCTTCAAACTGGTTTTACATTGGTGCGTGCTGCCAAACCCCATGGTTTGTTTTATCTGGTAGTTTAACAAGCAAGGGAAGTGGGGGTTGTGATCCAAATCATTTGGAGGCTGTCAGATTGGAGAACTCTGTTTTCTAGATAATCAATGTGGTTCATGAAGAAAGTGACAAAGTTCTTCAAAAGGCAATTCCAGAAAATATAGTTTAAGATAACTCGCAGGAAATGGCACTATAATACTATTTACTGACTCAAATCCTGTTGCTGAGTTACATCTGTAGAAGGTAAACCATGTAATATGCAGAGGCTTGCTAGCAATGAACAAGTCCCTGCTTAAATTTCCGGCTGTGTGCCAAGGGCACACCCTTGAAAATTCAAGCAGAGGTTCATTTAACTGCCAGTGCTAAGCAAGTTATGCCATTTGCCTTCCATAGGCATAACTATATATTATGCCTGTGGAAGATACATGGCCAGTTTATAAAAATAAGCCCATCACTGTTCTACTTATGATGGGCATGCAAGAACTGCAAATGACCCTTTCTGGTGTCTTTTACTCACCCCTACAATGCCGAATTTACATTTACGTAGTACTTCCTCTATGGTTTGCCACTGTAAAGATCTCACTACATAAACAGACACTGATGGTACATCCAGGGTGAAATGTCAAGTTCCTCAATTCAACACAAAATGAAGCACAGTTACACTGATGGAAATATTTTCTGTTGTACTGTATCACAACACATTGTACCACATAAAACTTACAAAGTTTGTTCTTCTTTCTGACTTTTATTAAAACTTCACAATATCTTTTAAAAGACTGCACTTCTAATCACTTACTCTTATTACACTGTATTTTCCTTTGCAATTTCCCTTATTACTAGCGTTGTTGAAAGTGGATCACAATCCTCATGTGGCGAGACATCAGATTTGGAAATATATACCTATCAGTGCATAAATACCTCAAAATATATGTTATATAATGAAGTTGCCATGATAGTTTCATAAAACCCTTCTTTAATGTCACAGTTTTTTAATATAAATGTTATCATGTGGCTTGAAATGAGTCATAAGCAGATAAAAATTCAGTGTCTGCTACAGGAACATGGTTCTGGTTTGAATGATTGTTCAAGCCATGTTTTATGAAGCTTTGAATGGGTTCTGGGGTGCAAAACTTCTCTGCCTACTCCCCTGTTGTACACAGGCTTCAGCACTACAATCCTGGCTTGTATTATTAAGACAGGAAAACCTGAGTTAATGTTAAGTTAAAGTAGGAAGACAGTAAGATGTAGTTACATCCTAGATGAAATTCCAGAGTAGTTAACAGGCTTTTAAAACCAGTGTTTCCTGCCTCAGAGTTAGAAGAGAATTCTGGCTTACCAGGATCTTTGCACTGACGTCTCTGAACATTGGCAGGAGGGGAGAATGAACTAAGTGCAGGCTGATGATTTTTCACAGCTTCATAGTTTTATGGAGAGTCTATGAAGCCTTAAACTGGGCCAGAGAGAAAATCCCCTGAACTATCACTTAAATTGGGCCAGAGAGAAAAGTGAGCTTCTGAATCTTTAGTTTCTTTGAATAAACAAATCTAGAGGACACGTTGGCTAAAATCCTCCAACTGCATAGTCTAGAATGACTATGACGAAACAGTTCTGGAGCAGTCTGAAGATGCTCATCTATAAAAGACCTCAGAATGTGCCCAAATTAGAAACTGCATATGTATTGTTGGGACCGGATTTTATCTATACTCAGCAAATCATTTTGCACTACATGCACCCAAGGAAAAAATGTTTACCTGGGATGGCCACAGTTAACCTTTTTTCCTTGCTGAGACGGTGCCCATGGAAGAACTCATTCATGGAAGGGGGGCCCCTCAGAAGAAATGATTCTGTGGAGGTGTGATCAGGGGGGGTTCTTAATAAAGGCAGTAGGTGGGTCCCTGAAGTCCTGGGATGGCTCTGATCACAAGGGGAAGGTGAGAATAGTCTTGCAGAAGATCCAAGAAAAAATACATACGGAAACAAAAGAATTTTTATTTAATTATCGAGCAATGGCCCCTTGAAAGACAATATCACATTACTGTTTTCCATCCCAAAAATCCCCCAACATGTTGCTACCCCCCAGCCCCACTGTTGCTCCTACCACACAGGAGTACAAAGTCATCACCCAAGAAGGCCTTGTTTAGTTAATTTAGAAAAAACAGTACAAGCTTCTTAACCTTTGACCATTCCAAGAAAAACTCAGCTGCCAGGCATGCTAGCCCACTATCTAAAATCTACCTTTACTTCCTGATTTATACTGTTAAAATATTTTCTTCTCATTTGAGAAGTTTCCTGAGTGTTGCCAAGAATCTAGCAGGACAGAGTACATAACTGTGTGTGGCTAGGAGACCCACAGACTATGCAGGCCTGTGATAAATCGCCTGCTACTTTTTCCTTCCAATTCTGATTCCTCAATTCATATTTTTAATGATTATGCAGTATTTAGGATCCATGAATACTTGCTTCAATTGCAAACAATATTTACACTTGACATTGATACTGAACACATAAAAATCAGATGGTGCATATTTATCTTTAAGATCTCCAAACAGGCAAAACCTCACTATGTTTTTCTCAAAGTGATGAGGCATTTGCCCACCAAATTCTACCTGGTACCATCATCCCTCTTGACAAGACAGACACAAAACTATATGAGACCCTGCAACCACTAAAATGTGTTTAGAGATCTTGATTTAAAAGTTGTTTAGTTTTTGAACATTAGTTCGTTTACCAAAAATATTGAGAAGCACATTCAGGCAAATAGACTCCTTCCCCCATTTCATTACTGGAGGAAAAAAGCCAGTTTTTCAGCACCAATTTTTAATAATAATAAACTTTGAACATTTACACGATGTGTTCCCTCTGGACTTGGATGTGCTCTTGGACATAGCCCTTATTTCACTAAATGTAAAGAAGGTACATTCAAGACATAATGCTGAAATGCTGACAGACTATGATTTATGGCCTTATCAAAAGGACATGAAAACATTATGGGCAGGTAGAATTAAGTGTCAAGATTAACATTTTGAAAAGCCATTATTTCTCTCCTCCCCACTCCCAGCCTCTTATTATACCCAACCAAATATATATAATCTATTTGCAATTCAGTGGATGACCTTATTTCAAGTCAGGCCACTGCACTCTACTATAAAGACGACTGCATGCATACCTTTTCCTCTGAGTGCCACTGCTGACCAGTATGTTTGGTTGCTGTGGGCCCTGACTATGCAGGAGGAAAGTGTCTATGGTTGGCACGGTGGCTGATGCCTCCTCACTTACTTTAGGGCTGCCGATCTTGCTCTTTCCAAGTTTGCCTTTGCTCCGCCGGGACTGCTCATGATCAAACTCTAAGTCTTCCAGACGTTGGGTGAGGGCGAGTTTTTGCTGGATCGCCATCCGCAGCAAAGAGTTTAGTGTCTTCTTCTCATCCTCTGCAGCTGCCAATTGCCTCTGCATCTCATCCAACTGTGTGACATACTCATCACACCTGGAGGAAACAAGGGAAGAGCACCATCATGAGGAGACAGTGTCATCTTGGCAGTCATTTTTTTCCTCAGCATTACAAATAGAGAACAGTCTGCATGACTACAGAGAGAACAATCTCCAACAGCAACGTATGCAATCATGGCAGTTGTCTAAGAACCTGCTATTCCCACAGTAGCAGACGAGGTTGCCAGTGGCCACTGGTTTCTCTTACGTGCAGCTCAGATCAATCTAATGCCATTCCATGGGAGGGGGAGCAGTCACTCTGCCTGAATAAGTTGTCAATGTCATCTCTGTCATTGACCTAGTCTGAATTTTTCAGAGATAAAAAGCAATTCAAAGCAGAAATACCTTCAGGATAAACACCCATAAGATTAAAAGTGGCTTAACAACTGGAATATTAGACTAACTACTTTTATGGTGCACTGCCACCACTGAATGTAAGAAAACACCCACTAGTACAGTGGTACTAGTACATCTTGGGTCCCAAAATGTTTTTGGACTACAGCTCCCAGAAATTCTGGCCAGTACAGCTAATGGTGAAGGCTTCTGGTATCCCGGATCAGGTTCAATGTTTTGACACTCACATACAAAGCACTCCATGGTTTGGGCCCATGTTACTTGTCAAAGTGTCTCTCCTTAATGTCATCTTCCCGACCCACAAGACCATCACTCTGGGTGGTCACCCTGAGGGAGGCCCATAAATTCTCTACAAAAGGTAGGGCCTTCTTTACAGTGGCTCTAACTTCATGGAACCAGCTTCTGGAGGAGCTCCATGGGGACTTTTAGGAAGCAATTAGGAAACTGATTGGTTTTCAGGGAGACTTTCCACACAGAGCCCAGCTGATCACATTTCCTCCTTTTTTCTATCCCCTATTCTTCTTCCCTCCCCTCTTTTCCTCCATCTACTCTGGGATTAGTCAGTGCCATCTGACTTTTTAGGGGTTTGTTATTGGTTTTAATATCTCTATTTTTATTTTTTCTTTCTATTTTACGAGTTGTAACCCGCGCAGAGCAGTGCTGTGACGCTAATGGGAGCTGGATACAAATTGAATAAATAAATAATTTTAGTCCAAGAACATCTGGGGACCCAAGGTTGGGAACCACTGCACTAGCAGATCTACTTAGGGGAACCAGAATAGCAAGGAAAGAAGCAGTTTGAAATTGCACTATTTATTTACTTTGAGTCTATTTAATTAAAAAAATATATGCAGCTCTTGATCATATTAGATTAAAGTGTGATATATTAAAAACGCACTTCTATTGACAATTTCTCCATGCAGCACACTCCATAAAATTGTTTCCTTAGATTTCTGTCCCTTCCTTCCTGTAACAGATTGACAAGAGGTGCCACTAATCCGGTTCGCTGTCCAGTAGCATAGGGACAGCGACTAAACTTTTTAATATAATGATGTAAAGAACTTTTAGAAATTAAAAATGGAAATGACATTTTAAGTGAATGTGTTCTTAAGACAGCAAAAACATTATGTCACCGTATTAGTCACTGACTGGAGTGAAGCATATTTAATTATACTGAAAGCAGAGTCTCGGCTTACAGGAATTCTCATTATGAGCACAAGCCAAGTGCTCAGACGAAAGACAGATTGTTCTGCACTTAAATGGACTTTGATACTATCACTTATACAGAGATCAAATCTTTTTATTCCCATGACTACAGTTGTTAATGCCTACTTTAGACAAGATACCATAAAATAAACCAGAATGAGATAATTATGGTATCTCACCCACAAAACACACAGACTAAATGGTTGAAGCTTTCATATTTAAGAGAATAACACCCAATGGCCAAATCCTATTGGTCATTTATATGTGGATAAGTTAAATTGCATAACTCACAACAGCGAACTGCTGCTAATGAATGCCAGTTGTGTTAAAAAGCCCATGCCTGGTTGCACAATAGGTGGACTGGGCAGGAATGGACAGATGCCTCTACTCATGCACTAAACAGTACACCAAATAAGAGTTTCCTTTTAGATAGGGAATATTTGTACAAGGTGTGAGTGCACAGGTTGTCTCCATCCAACCTACAGTCTGCAGGGTTTCATACTTATACTTCAAGACTCTCCCCCCTGCCCTGCCTGAAAACTGAGCCCTCAAATAGTCCTAACCAACATTCACTTTTTAAAATTCCTTATTTATACTCACTGGTAGGACAAATGAAAGACTACATATTTTGCATTCAAGATCCCATGTTCAATCCCCAACATCTACAGTTAAAGCTAAGATAGACATTTATCTGAAATTCATTGAGTCCCTGCCTATCAATGTCTACTCAGACACGGTTAGACTAGAGCAGCAATGAACCCCATCCAGTGTAAGTGGAGTTGTAATCCAATGCAACATCTACAGTTAAAGCTAAGATAGACACATATGAAATTCATTGAGTCCCTGCCTAACAATGTCTACCCAGACACGGTTAGACTATAGTGGCAATGAGCCCCATCCAGTGGTAAGGGATGACTGGAGTTGTAATCCAATATATCTGGAGGTCAGAAGTTACTTAATTGCTCATTACTGATGCAAATAATACCAAGCTTGTAAGACAGCTTTCTATGTTCCTAAATGTTCAGAATGCATCACACATGAACATATGAGAACAACGCGAACATGCCACATTGGAGGGGGCCAAGATCCTGAATTATGTTGGTGGCAATGACTGTTTTCAATACCTGGTTGCAAACATGGCTCTCAAGGATGAGAAGGTTGCTGCATCTTCTTTCAAAGCCTTTAACTCATTGCGTAATTTTGTCATGGTTTCTGTCACCATGGCTTTCTCATTCTCATATTTATTCTTCAGATTAGCTAGGGCCACTTCAGCTGTCTGAAATAAAGACACGGGGATTACACGGATTTGCAATGAACAGAAACTAAAGTGACAACCTAAGGTGCCAGGGTCTGCTCAGTAATATGATTGAACCAGCATGGACCTACTTACATTTACATTGCACGTTGAGAATGCATGTTCATTTTCATCTGGGTCACAAAATACAACTTGAATGCACAGTACTTGAAACATATGGGGAAGAGATAGCTATGTTAGTCTCTTACAGTAAAAACTAAGTCCTATGGAATCTTTATGACTAACAGGTTTCAGATGGCAGGAGCTGTCAATTGACTACAGCCCAGCACGTCAGGTTCGGCAGCCTACAAAAGCTCATGCCAAATAAAACTAGTTAAAGGTGTCATAGGACTCTTCCTTGTTTCATTGTCCGGAGAGACACAAGAATAGCTGAGAAAGACTTTCATCTCCAGTAGCCCATTCTTCTTTTGCCACACAGTTGGCTGCATTCAACTTAGTGTTGTAGCAGTTTTCTCTTTAGAAAAAAAAAACACATGGCTATATAATCTATTTAACAGATTTAACAATGGGTGAATGCCTTCAACCCTCCAGAAAAAAGCTTACTATATGCCAACAGTCTTTTTCAGAAGAAAACAAGGAGTACATTTAAATCTTTAAGTATCTGATTGCCCAGTCCTTTTAGCCATTGAGATAAGCAAACACAAGGGATGACTGGTTCACTGCTTGAATGATCGAGGGAACAGAAGAAGAACTACAACAGGATAGTCCAGTGGCTTAAGCATCTGGATGCAGAGCCAGAGGCTGGGAGTTCAATTCCCCACTTGTGCTTTCTTGACTGGGGCTGGACTTAATTATCTATAGGATCCCATCAGCTCTGCCACTCTAAGATGATGATGGTGATAATAAAGCCTAAAAACTCCACTTTATGACTTCCTCTAATTTAAATGCAAACACAGCCTTCTAGGGACAGCAGCTAAGAGGTTCATACCAGCAGAATACAGAATAATTTCCCATCTGATTATTCAGAGGAATTGCTCCATCATAAGCCTCCAGGGGCCAGGATTCTTCTCTAAGCACACACACCATAGATCCTTTAACAAACAAAACAGCTTTGTGGAAAGTCATTAAGTGACATTCCAGTTCACTTCTGGTTGTACCAGAAGGATCTTATGCAGCCTGAAGCAAACAAAAGATGGATGGAAATTGGCTCCAAACTTGCCCACCCTGGTTTTGCTGCTCCCACTGGCAGGTCAAGAAAGGCAGGAAGAGCAACCAGCACAACTATTTTAATTGCACAGAGAATCCCAAAGCAACCAGTACTTTCTCAAAGATATTGTTGCATAGAATAATACAAATAAACAGCTTTCATTGCCAACAGCAAGAAAAATATAGAGAAACATTATTCAGTTCCCAAGAATGAGATAGCATGTTGCAAAAATTTACAAAATCACAAAAGGCAAAACCAAAGAACACTCTTTTTTTGCATTTAGGATTGATAAGAGAATGACATAAAATCTAAAGCAAAGCATAGCACTCTCCAAGTAGTTTACTATTTAATTATGCAGGCTACACATTGCCCTCCCAGAAAGCTGGGCACTCAATTTACCAACCTCAGAAGGATGGAAGGCTGAGTCAACCTTGAGCTGGATATCTGAATGCATTGGGATCAAACAGGAGTGGTGAGAGGAGTTTTGACTGCAGCACTACAGTTTAACCATTGGCTCCCTAAAAGGTTCTTGCCAAAAGATTCTAAAAATGCCCTTTAAAAAGCGTTTAAAGTAAACAGAAAAATTGCTCATTATGCTCCAAAGTAACATTGTTAACTATTTATTACACTTTACTATAACTTTGGAATTCCTTGTAATATTACCTGTTACTCAAAAAGTAATTAGTTATAGGAAACGTGTATATAACTAGTTACTTGCAAGATCTGTGGACTATGATATGGTCTAATTCTTGGATTATACTGTGCCTTGCACTCTGTCTTGCGCTCTGCTTTAGGCATTTAAATTTAGATGTTACAGCGGATGATATTTTGTAACATAAACCAGCAGGTTGTACACTCAGAGATTTCGTATAAAAGGCACTAGCAGGATCCCTTCGGGCAGGGAACAAGGCAGCAATATGAGCTGGCGGTGAGCCCTGGCAGTCGCACTGGAGGAGGTGATCGGACGGCGGTGGCGGCAGTCAATGGGCAGCTGCAAGAGGCGGCCAAGAGTGGCTGCTCCTTTGCCTCCACCTCCTTCCATGTACAAAATGACCCTCAATTTTTCCTCTAATGATTTAAGGAAAAGTGTTGTTTTGTACACGGAAAAATATGGAATGCTTCTGGCAACCCAACAGACACTGTAGACATCACCAGCTGGCCAATAAAGAAATCACATAGATATTGGAGAAGCTGTATTCTCTCTGTCAAAACAAGACTAGGAACAGATTGTGGTACTGGCCAATATAAAAAAATTAGAATAAAGCTGAAAAAGAATACCAAAATAATAAAAGTGGCAAAAGATAACATTTCTGATAAATCTAAAGGCTATATAAATATCTATTACTAAATTCATTTGACCATGAAACAGAAAAACCATGGCTTAACTTCAGATATATTATTAGGGAAGAATGCAAAAAGACTATTCTTATATTCAAAACAGGGTGGGGGAAGCCTAGGTGGATGACTGAAGACTATTAAGACAGGCAAAAAGCAAAGTACAGTAAAAGGTGACAGAAATAGGGCCACCCACTCTCTAAACGCTGGGAGGAGTGAGGAAGCAGACAGGCACCCTTTTCACTGGCCAACAGTTAACTGAAAGTTCAAATTTTGCACTTTCCCTGCCTCCCACGTGGTTTTTTTCAGTTCTTAACTCAAATCTAAGTATGTAAGTCAAATCAATATTTTCCTATGAGAGCGGTTCTTAAGTCAAAATGTTCTTAACTCAAGCCATTCTTAAGTCAAGACCCCACTGTAAAAGGTGACAGAAATAGGGCCACAATCCTAAATGCAACTTTTCAGCATCTATCACATTGAGACAAAGAGAATTACAGTACTGTATTTCAATTACAGTACAAAGAAACTGAAGAGAAAAATAGGAGCAGGAAGAGGAGGAAAAGCAGTACCAACAGGGTGATCTGAAATTCTCTAGTATGTTCCAATAGGCACTGCATATTTGTGATATGTCTAGTCCCTCTTCCTGTTCAGAATCCAGACTGCATATCAGGCATTTTTGCTCTATATCAATAAGTCTTTATTGTAACACACTGATCATCACTTTGCATGGTAAATTAATATAATGTCCTATAGTTATTACGCTGCTTTCTGGAAGAATTTAATGCATATTGAATGTTTCCAGTCTATGGGCCATTGTTTTGTTTTCCATATTTGTTGACATGTTCTTGTAAGGATTTTGGCAGATTCAGTCTCTGCAGAGCATCCCTGGATTTTTTTTTTTTTGATCTTACCAGTATGTAAGTGGGGGTTAAAATGGGATGCACCAACAGCTACATCAGTACAGTGATGCAAGCTGCAACTCCAATCTTAAGACAGCCAGATGAGCAAGCTGGGGCAGGAGGACACATACACAGCAAGAGATGTTTTGACAATTTTTATCAGTTTTCTTCACTCACCTGAACAGGCAAGCCAGTTCTAAATAGAAAAGTGGCTTGCTAGTTCTTCATAGCTCTGTGTAGGATCGTGACCATTGATCACTGTTATGCTGATATCGCATATTCAGAAGACGGGTGCCAATAAAAGAATTTCATACAGGATATTTTCCAGATCTCAATGTTTTAGATACAGAGCCTCCAACTAATGCAATATCCATAAGCCTTTGCAAGCTACCATTTATATGAATGTGGGTATCTGTAACGCAATTATGAACATACAGCAAAGCTACAATTTTGTTATGTTCATTTGCTATGCAGTAGTAACAGTCCCTGAGGTCAAGGTACATAATTAATAGCATATTATTGGAATTGTTATTTCCAGATATATAGTTTTGAATAAAGAAACTAAGCACAAAGACAGATAAAAGCAAAAACATGTGTTAAATATTTATACCCGAGACCCACCTTTTTCATAGGACACTAACAAGAAGCTACAGTATCCTATTTCTCAAGGCAATGCTAGAGTTTTCAATAGAAGTTCTGCTGACTGGCCACTAGAGAGCAATCCTGCATCCCATATTAATAGCTAGATCTCAGTATTTTATCTGTAGTGTGTGTTAGAAAGCCTGTAATAATTTTCACTGAATCATGGAAATTCAAACCTTAATGAAACATCAAATTTTTCCTACTTAATTCTCCTATACCTTTAATTTATTTGTTTAACATTGTTTAATTGTCAAATTCCAAATAATTTTGCTATTCTTCCATGTAGTCAGAATATTGGCTTATCCATCCTTTTACATCAAAACATAATCTCCAAGAAGCAAGTGTCATAGTGCTGTGAAAAATCTTTCTTACTAAGTTCTAGTCTTCTGAAGTTCATTAGCCCTAAATATGAACAGGGCTATCATCTTACATTGCCTTTATGCTAAGATTGCTTCAACAGGCAGTGCACATCTGTTTAAAGCAGCCTGAAAAAAGAAAACTGAAAAACGTCAATCACAGAATGTAAAAACCTACAATATATGCAACTGTTAACCCCAACTAAGAGCAGATCTCTCAAATCAGCTGCTGAATGATAACTCAGTGTCTGCTATGCAACTGTTAACCCCAACTAAGAGCAGGTCTCTCAAATCAGCTGCTGAATAACTCAGTGTCTATATGAATTACATTGATTTAATACATCTCCTGTACTTGTCGACTAGCAAGCAACTGTGCTTAGGTTAGAATGTTTCTGTGAACCAATCCTACCAAGGACCTTAAAGTGGGCAAAAAGTAAGATTATTCATCCTGCAAATAATGGGGGTTCAGAACCAGGAAGGTGAAGTTAGACACATTCAGTTTCTTGAACAATTCTCAATATGAACTCTTAAATACAGTTTTGGCTAATCATTTACATGATTATAAAATGCCTTGATGACATTAATTAACAGATTACTGAAAGTTAGTTTAGAAATCATGTCCTGCAATTAGGCTTTAACACACGTTGTTTGTTTCAAAGAAATCCTGGAATAAAACCAGATTGGTTACCAGCAATAAAACTAAATTGATTTGCAGTGGGCTATTAATAATAGCTTACCTGCTTGTTGGCTTTCAACACGGCCCTGAGAGTTGCTATCTGCTCTCGTTTTGTACTCAATAAGGACTTTAATTTCAGAATTTCTTCCATTAAGGCCTCCTTGTCTTTATCAATCATAGGTACTAGTTCACGGGCTGCTGCACGCTGCCGAGACAGCTGCAACGACCTGTCTACAGCCTTCTGCAAGTGCTTGATTTGGTCCCTTATTATGGCATTCAGGTTGTAAATGTTCATTGGCTCTTTGCGAATGTCACTGGTGTCGGAAACTGGGGAGGAGGGAGGGGCTGTGATAACAGGAGAAATTGTAGGGGTCTTTGTTGGACTTTGCTCTTTATTAGCTTCTGAGCAATCTTTCGAAACCTGTTCAGTCGGTGTCCTGGCCTCCACTGGGGACGCCATTCCTCTCCTGGCAAGCCGTGGTGAGAGGAGTCCTCTTGGATCATCAGGTCCCTTTAAGCTCCCACTTCTAGTAACTCTACTTTGCCTGTAATAGTCCAGCATAACCCTATTGGGAGTTTCATTGTTACAGAGACATACATGATGATAGAGCTGTGCAAGCTCTTCACTGAAAGTCACCAGCTCATCCTGGGCTGTGTTGAGGGTATTATGGTTCTCATTTGCAACACCTGTAATCCTTTGCAGTTCCTGTTCCATCTGCATCATTTTCTCATGGCTTTCCTTAGTGGACTTCTCCAGATTTGTCACTTGTTCATCATATAGCTGGATCCTACTCTCATACTTGGCCTTTTCTTCAGTGTAGTTTTCAACGCATTTGTTGTATTTCTCTTTTAAGGCCTTTATTTCAGCTTTGAGGTCAATCACCTCTGTAACAGCTACCTTGTATTTGCACTCTAGAATCTCTAAGCCATTGATATCCACTTCATAATCATGAGTTTCTTCACCAGAATCCCGGCCTTTCTCAAAATCTACCTCTTTCAGCTCTTTGTTGCTCTGCAGACCCCTCATGGCATTGACGTGCTCAGTGAGCCTGTGAACCCGTTCATGTTGCTCTGTGAGCGCTCCCTTTGTGTGCTCCAGCTGAGTCTGTGATTCCTGAAGATTAGCCAAGAGAATGGCTTTCTCACGTTCCACCTGCAATAACACAGAAACAAACATATTAAAGGGGGGGGAAGGCAGGGGTGCAAAAGTAGCCACCTGAACAAAAACAAAACAAACACCTCAGCTTGGCATCGGGAACCTCAGTAATCAGCGAACAGCTTTCTCTTCCAGTAGAGGTGGGAACAAGCCACTGGTTCCATGTGGTTTGTTTCCCAGCCAAATGGCTGATCCACGATCTTGCACCTCGTCCCCTCCAGGGGGCAACCACCCAGAGGCAGCACCTGGAGGAGGTGAGTTTACAATACTGTGCAGCAAGGCTGTAGGTAACAGGGAATGGAATGCAAGGGCAAGGAGGTAAGAGGACGTTGCAGAAGCTACCTAGTAATGAAGGGGAGTAATGAATGGGAACTAAAGAAAGGGAGGCGTACTATGTGGAAGCAGCACATGAGGAAAGTGTGTCAAAGGCATGGAGTTAAAGGAAGGAAGACAGCAAGGAGAAAATAGGACACAGAGAAGACAGGGCAATGGTTGGTAGCAATGATGCTGCCACAGCTGGTGCTCTCCCCCACCAAGTTTTCCCCTTTTCAGATTCTCCCCTATGGCATCCTGGTATTCTGCTCTCTGTCTCTCTTGCTTTCTCGCTGTCTCTCTAACATTATGCCCTCCTTTCACAATGGTATTCTTTTTATATCAGCAATTCCCCTTGCATGCTCTTTACATCACAGTGGCAGCTGTACACATGGGTGTCCACGTTCTCCCCTGCCACAGGTGGGAGGTACACACAGTCTTCCCACACACTGGATGAAATCCTATTGCTTAGTGTACTAGTGGCAGTTACAGTAGGTCCATCTGAATAAATGAAACTTAACGTCAGAATTGACTCACAAAATTCCCATTATTTCAATGGACCTGCTCTAGCACAACTTACTACGCTAAGCAACAAGATGTTAGCCACAGTGTAGGGGCCAAACATATTACTAGCACATACATGTAATCAAGACAGATAAACAGTTTTTGATGTAAGCAAGTTTGGGACAAAAATGGCACATGGAGAAACCACATTGTGTGATGGGGCATATTTAAGGCCCCTTGGCTCCTGCTTCAAATTGTCGTCCAAAACAATTGCCTCTTTCTAAGCAAGCATTTGTAGGGGCACAAGTACAACTGGACCTCACAGAAATGAAAAGCAAAATGAGATATGACTGCAAGTATGGACATGCCAGTCACCCTCTTGTCCTCAACCACTACTTCGCTTCTGAAATATAGATATATATATATACCTGCATGAGTTGCTGCTTCAGCTTCTGCATTTCAGAGATGTTGAGCTCACTGAAGAGGTCAGAGACGGGGTGTAGGGATTCTCCTTTCCTAACTGCAGGAGTCCGATAGTCACCGTTCAGCTTCATGTGAGGTCCATGAATATGCCCATTCATTTTCTCATCGTTATTAGGTTCGTTCCCATCCTCTCCAAACTTTAGTCCATCTACTGAGATATTAATATGGTTATTATACACACTGTCATTCAGATTGATATACTGGGAAAGTTCCTTTCTCAGATTGTTCTTTTGCTCCCTCTCATTCTTTAACGTCTCCAGGGCTTCCTCAAGCTGATGTTCGGCAATCTCCTTTAATCGGATGGCATCTTCTAGCTGGCTATTAAGCAATACAGTCTCTTCTTCAAATCGTTTTATCTCATGTTTCAGACCTTCATATTCAACCTGAATTAGATAAGATAAAGAACATTCATAATACTAAAAGTTGGATTTACAAACAACCTGCCATTTGTTGCATCTGTTGAACTAAGGTAGAAACAAAGGAGCTACTGTAGAAAAGACCCAATTTTTACGAACTGCATAATCCAGCCACAAGGAAAGATGACTTAGAACCATGCTTATTCTGTCTGTCATTGGCCTAAACCTACTGCTGTCCGCAAAAGGTTTGCATAATTCAATCCAACTAATTGCAGCTAATTGATGATGTGCTACAACATGTCTCAGCCATGTTCCAGGTCACGGAAATTGAAATGTACACCAGTATCTTGTGAATTATCCATAATCAGTCACAGCAACCAACAAAACTTTGTGTGAAACCAGTATGGTTCCTATCACTAGATTCCATCTTTCTATAAGAAAGATCATATACAGTACTGGAAATCAAATATACAGTGGTGCCTCACAAGACGAACGCCTCGTGGGATGAAAAAATTGCAAGACGAACGGGTCTTGTGAGTTTTTTGGTGCCTCGCAAGACGTCTTGCAATATTTTTTGTCTTGTGAGGCGGGTTTCCCATAGGAATGCATTGAAATTTAATTAATGAGTTCCTATGGGGAAAAAAAGTCAGGAAAAAGTCTCTTACCTGGTAGTAAGACTGAGTAGACCGAGCCCCACTTTTCCTTGGTAGCCCTGGAACAGCCTGACTCTGGTACTGAACAGCTGACTGTCGGGAAGCAGCAGAGAGGCGGCAGCCATTTTGGAGAGGCAGCAGCCATTTTCAGATGCAACCACATGGCTGCTGCCACTCAAAATGGGTACCAAAGTCAGGAAAAAGTCTCTTACCTGGTAGTAAGACTGAGTAGACCGAGCCCCACTTTTCCTTGGTAGCCCTGGAACAGCCTGACGCTGGTACTGAACAGCTGACTGTCGGGAAGCAGCAGAGAGGCGGCAGCCATTTTGGAGAGGCAGCAGCCATTTTCAGATGCGACCACATGGCTGCTGCCTCTCAAAATGGGTACCACCTTTCCAATATGGCTGGCGCCTCTCTGCTGGTTCCCAACGGTCAGCTGTTTCGTGCTCTGTGTGAGCTGTGTGAGGCTGTTCCAATGCTACCAAGGAGGAGCGGGGCTTGGTCTACTTGGTCTTACTACCTGGTAAGTGACTTTTTTCTGACTTTTTTTCCCCATAGGAATGCATTAATTAAATTTCAGTGCATTCCTATGGGAAAACTTAATTCATAAAACAAAATTTTCCCAAGATGGCATTAACCGTGGAACTGATTAATTTCATCTTGTGAGGCACCACTGTAATTAGTCAAACACTAGAAAAGCATGATCAGGCACATATCATGAAGTTTATATCTCGCTAAAATGGAGTTCATTTTCAAGCATATCACACTTATGAAGGCAAAAAACCCAGTAAAATATAACTAAATGGGGACATTTGAAAGGCTATATTGAAGGTTGCAAATGTTCTGCAATTTACATTTCTAATCTTTATTGAGATTCATCAATCACCGTACATTTTGAGAACACGTTGGCTCTTTGCTAGTTGCATAAGAAACACAAAATAATTTCCCGTGTGAAAGAATCAGAACATATTCATATATTATTCAAGTAACAGGATAACTAAATAATGAGTAATCTCAGAAGTTAATCAGCTTTTCTTGTATGGTATAATTAAAAGTGACATTTCAACTTGAAAAGGAGAGCAATTTTCTGAGTTAAGAGAAAATAAAAATAATATAAAATTACTAGTCTTAATTTTTTTAAAAAAAGGCACCATAGCCTATGTTTACCACCTGCTCTCTATATTCATTAATGGTTAGGTTAGGCGTCCTTCAGTCTCGAGAGACTATAGTAACATGCTCTGTATGGAGGACTTGGACGAACATCTAGTGTGGCTGAGAAGGCCAATTCGAGAGTGACAATCTCTTCCACACTGAAGACAAATCCAATCTGTCCCCTGTTGTTGGAGTCTGATAGTTTGTTGTTGTTGTTTAGTCGTTTAGTCGTGTGCGACTCTTCATGCCCCCATGGCCCGGAGCCCCCCAGCCTCTCCTGTCTTCCACTGCCTCCCGGAGTTGGGTCAAACTCATGTTGGTAGCTTCGATGACACTGTCCAACCATCTCATCCTCTGTCGTCCCCTTCTCCTCTTGCCTTCACACTTTCCTAACATCAGTGTCTTTTCTAGGGAGTCTTCTCATGAGATGGCCAACGTATTGGAGCCTCAGCTTCAGGATCTGTCCCTCCAGTGAGCACTCAGGGTTGATTTCCTTTAGAATGGATAGGTTTGTTCTCCTTGCAATCCAGGGGACTCTTAAGAGCCTCCTCCTGCACCATAATTCAAAAGCAGCCATTCTTCGGTGGTCAGCTTTCTTTATGGTCCAGCTCTCACTTCCATACATCACTACAGGAAAAACCATAGCTTTGTGCTAAGTTTTGTTGGCAAGGTGATTTATGCTTTTTAAGATGCTGTCGAGGTTTATCATTCCTTTCCTGTAGTCACAAGTAATTAGGATAGCAAATAGTCTTAGAGAAGTTAAAAAAGTCAGCCACATACACACAAGGATGTCTGCCAGCAGTACTCCTGATCAGCAATTAGTAGAAGAGGACCTCGAATAAGACGACTGCCCTGCCCCCAGGAGGACTGTGTTTATTAACCTTACAAGCTCACAGATAGTTGACAGTATACAAATAGTTTGCAGAGTTCAGATAGGACAATGGTTACGTAATGCCATTATGATTGGCCCAAGGAAAGGCAATTAAGCAAGCTCTCTATCACCTATGAGAAAGAAGAAGAATGGGTAGCAGCTCTTCCCAGAAGCAGCTGTGATGTTCCGGGAGAGTGTGCTCTACTACTGTAGAATCAGCCAACAGCTTAGCAACTTTGGGGAGGGGCATTCCCCCACACCGTGTGAGTAGATGCTAATGGACGCTTCCATGAAACCCCAGACCAGTATTCTCCTAAAATGGATGCCTGGGTTAAAATATAATAAATAGCTTGCTTTTCGCTGATCTAGAGAAGCACCTGCTTCCTGCAGTTTACATTGGCTGACCACGAATATTATGTGCCTGCTCGGTACTTTCCAAGTACCGGTTTGCAAGGTACCTACTAGCTAGTTTGCGGTTTATATCAGCCAACCACGAATATCCTGTTTACCTGATTTCCTATTGAAACAAGAAACAGCTTGCAGCCAAGTTAGTAGAAACCAGGGGTGGGGGATCCACCTCCAGCATACTTAGAAAACATATGCCCCTTTGCTGTTCTACCCTAGATAATGCATACTGAATAACCCCCTTGACCTACTTGTCAGCCAATGAGGATTTATCTGTACAGTACCTTTATTTCCTTGTGGTTAGAAGGCATAAAAGCTTGTCGCACTGATGTTTCAGAGTCCCTCACTTTGAGAGACCCGAGCGATATCACTCAAAATAAACAGCACTTGTTCTTAATCTGCTGAGTCTGTGTGTGGTCAATCTCAACTGCCTGGTTTAGTACAAGAGTGTTTCAACACTCCCAGTCTTATATTTGGCTCACACCTGTCCAGCTCCCTGATTTTGCTGGTTTTGGGACTGCCTCTTTGCCTTGGCCTGCTGGACAAGAGTCTCTTCAAAATGGGAGAGGCCATGATGCACCGCCTGCCCCCACTCAGATGTCAAAGTTCCCCATCTGTGGTGGTCCATTCCTAAGGCCTTCAGATCCTACTTGCAGATATCCTTGTATCACAGCTGTGGTCTCCCTCTGGGGCGATTTCCCTGAACTAATTCTCCATACAGGAGATATTTTGGAATCCGACCATCAGCCATTCTCATGACATGCCCAAGCCAACGTAGCAGTGTTTCAGTAATGTATACATGCTAAAAATTCCAGCTCAAAAATTTCATTCATTAATGAAGATGACAATTACTTCCAAACATAATTTGAGATCCAAAGTCCTCTTTTAAAATTGCTTTGGTTATCCATTTGTAAGCACCTTTAGATCAGTGAGTTAGATACTTGGCTGTGGAGATTTGGAGTTCAATTCCCCACTATGCATCCTAGAAGAGCCAGCCTGTATGGCCTTGGGCAAGTTGCAGAGTCCCAGAACACCGCCAGAAAAAGGGAATGAGAAACAATTTCCGAGTACTCTCTAACTAGAAAACCCTGAAAAGGCTCATCATACAGTAAGTCAGAATTAACTTGATAGCACATGATTATTTAAATAATAATAATTATAAGTGATGCAGCCAATTTTTGCTGCTCTAACAGTTTGATTTTTTTTTTCAATTCCTCTGCCAAAAAGGAGAGAAAAATTTTAATTAGCCAATATCCTGAAGTGGCTTTCTTCTTAAGCCAATTTATGATATTGACAAATCAAAAGAGGAAAGCTTTTAGTTTGTTCTGAGAGATGACAGACGTTGGGAATGAATTGAAAGAGAGTGATCCTACCCCTCACCCACCCAAAAGCAGAAGTTCCTGACAGGGGTCAGAAAGGTGCAGGTAGGACCACTCGGGGGAAGGGCTGGTTCACTTCAGCAAATACATTGTTTGATTGCTGTCTTTAGGAGAATACCAGCTTGTCCCTGCAGCAGACCAAACAGCAGACTAAATGTAGTCAGGGGGAATGAATTGAAAGAGAGTGATCCTACCCCTCACCCACCCAAAAGCAGAAGTTCCTGACAGGGGTCAGAAAGGTGCAGGTAGGACCACTCGGGGGAAGGGCTGGTTCACTTCAGCAAATACATTGTTTGATTGCTGTCTTTAGGAGAATACCAGCTTGTCCCTGCAGCAGACCAAACAACAGACTAAATGTAGTCAGCCTGATATTTTCAAGCAAGACATCAATGGGAAATCTCTAGTCAAGATAATGTTCACCCTGCTCTACTTCTTGTTCCTGTCTTGTCTACATGATGTCATGGAACATGCCATCCCACTGGCATGCATTTAAGTATGAACAGTTAGGGCTCCTGAACCATATATCAAAACTTCTAGCATTTGTATTTGCTCTTCTACTAACAGAAGTAACATAGCTCGTACCAAACTACAAATCTGGTGGTCAGTATCTCACCCTATCCACCCAAAGGGTGACAGTCCTAGACATGCGCTCAGTGAGTGTTGGATGAGGTCTAACAAAAAGTTACTCAACTCTATAATGTTCAAACAGGTCTCCTCTATACAGGTGCAAGACCTTTATGTTTGAATCATACAGAACACAAAGAACATGTTGTTTATGAATTCTCTTTATAATTTTTATGCTTCAAACATACAGGTCCTAAACCAGTTCCTACCGTTGGTTGCACTTATCATCTGTAAATGCACGCTATATCTGAAAATGGAACTATATTCAGTATGTCGTGTTCTTATTTTCCTAAGTTGTTTCTGAAAAACTACTCTATGCTCACCTGGTTCTGTTTCAGGGTGGAAACCAATTTTTGCAAAGTAATGTTCTCTTCTTCAAGCTCTGTATAGTCCTGAAGAAGTCTTGCTTCTCTAAATTTGTATTCTCTGATTTCATCTTTCATTCGAATTCGCTGCAGCTCTGCCATTTCATTGCTCTGAAAAGGAAAAGAGAAATAAAACAGATTACCCATCTCAACAAAACAAATGTCAGCTTAGCATGTGCTGGAAACAGGGACAAAACAGAAACAAAAACACACCAACAATATTTTTTTTATTATGTATCAGATCAACAACTCATTTATTTAGAGGATAAGTAATTTTTACTATTTATTATACCACTGCAGCTCTGCAATTAATTAAAAGTATATGGAGGGAAATAAGTAATACAACTTCGAAATTAACTTTCGTGTTAATCAGAAATCACTGTTTCCCTGTCTTCTGCAGAATTTTAACATATTGTTATTTTTTATTTACTGAGTAAAGGCAAATCAAAGATACTAGCAAAGTGTTCTCTTTCAGCATACTGCTTTACTAAGGACCCAGCCCAGGTCAATAAGTAGTAAGGTCTGCCCTTTGAAGGTAAGCATTAACAACATTGAGAAAGGAGTGCAAGTTCTGTCATCATATTCTCAAAATATTTACTTCCAAACATAATTTGGTACTCAAAGTGCACAGTTTGTGTCTCTCTGTAAAGATAAAAATCAACAAATTGAAGAAATGCACGTATGTTTTAATTTTTGTGTTTACATAAACATATGTGCAAAGTGCAAAGAGTATTACAGAAATAACACAGAACATAAATGTGGCAACATGTTCCCTGCTTCCCAACACAAGTAACCAGCTAGGTTAAGTATGATTATTAAGATCTTGAGGCAGGGGCTCCTCTGTGTCCCAGGACATTGTTTGTAGCAGTACATTCCTTGTGCCACAACTACATTCTCAGTAAAAATGGGGTGGAATATCATTTCACATGATGTAAGCTCTACTGCTCTTTAAAATGGCACTCAATGTGCAATAGGTGAGAGACCATTGTTTGGTAGGTGTCTGGATGGTGGTGACCAGGGAGTGTAATGGGAGCAGTGATAGCAATGTCTACAAATGTCAGGAAGATCCCCTCCTGCTGCTGCTGCCACCTCTGCCACCACTACTTCCAACATGCTCCTCAGCTGCCATGACCATCCAGCCATGAGAAATACAAGCATGAAAACAGGACATGTGTTTCAAGCAGTTTTGCTTGGAAAAACAAAAGCCTGCTGCTGGTTATCTGCAAAAGTGTAGTTCCTGCCATGCAGATATAGGTGAAAGCTTTCTTGGCTGTAGCACATTGGCTGTGGAAATCCTACCCTTCGAGGACAAATTGCTACGAACATTGCCCTTAGTTTGGCACTAGGTTACAATCCAGATGTTTACCCAAACACTTAAAGACTTGTGAGATCCTGGTTTCATTTTGATACACCTGACTGTGGGTATTGGCTGTTATGTGGTTTCAAATTGTTTAAGAGTGGCCTCATTGTAATTTGCCCTGAAATCTGTTGACAAGACAGGTTAGATATATTTTCATAGGTAGATAATATAAGGTAAATATGATAATGATATCACAGAGTGCTGGCGCACTCAGGAGTAGTATACAAGTTGAAACAACAACTTCTAGACTAATCCAAAAGATCTGCCAATCACATATGGAGTTCCCCCAAAACTTTCACAAAGAAGAGAGTAAATTCTCCTTCCCCTTGCTCAGATTACACCGTTTTCCTAATTAGTCCAGTACCAAGAATTGAGCTCAACCTGGCCTCAAAGTTTTTTCTCACAGCAATAAGTCAGAGGCTTTACAGATGCAATATTTCTCACATGTGTTGAACATTTTTGCCATCAAGTCATCTCCAACATATGGTGACATATAAATACGTCAACTTTAACATGGCGTATCATTAATAGCCCTCTTTCAAACTCAAGAGTTATGGCTTTTTTTGTGAAGTAAATCTGTCTCATAGCTGATTTTTCTCTTTTCCTGCTAGTATTACTGTCAAGATATTGTAATTTTATAGGCCTGAACATGTATTAAATGTAACATTAATGAGCTGCCATAATGAACAGCTGTGTGACTGCTGAGTCACTGTGACAGAAGATGATGCAATGTCTGGAGAAGAGGCGACACCCACGTGGAGAAAATGATGTAATGCATCCTGTAATTGGACAGAAGAAGCTGTGTAACTGTATATAAGTGAACAGTATGAACATAATGTACCTTCTCCTTCTTTCTCTTGCTACTATCCTCTATGCCAGTTTGTCTATTGTTTGCCTGCTACACCGAAGTTCTGCCAGTTTGTATATTTGTATATTTGTATAATACACGTGTCTTATTACAGAAGAAGAGTGTGTGTCTGTCTTCAATCAGATAACTCTGCGTATTATTGCAGCGCGAAGCTGACATTTACCTTTTTCTAGCATTATTGTCTTTTCCAGTGAACTGTCTCATCTCATGGTGTGCTCAAAGTATGACAGCCTCAATTTCCTCATTTTTGCTTCTACAGAGATGTCATGATAAGGCCGTTCTCTCTCCAACCCCCAGCTTGCAACCTTCTTCCTGTGATTGTGCTTACTCCAAAGTGCTACCCAACAGTACTCAACACACACACACACACACACAGTACAGCCACCATCCCCATATCCATTCTCCTTGTCTCAGAAGCCTAATAGCCTAGTGAGGTCAGGGCACTAGAATTTAGTATCCAGATTTCCTCTGCACTCAACAAACACCTGGATAAGATTTTAAGTATTTTATTAAAAAGAAAAGGTATGCTACCATGTGTCAATAGTACTGATGGCTGAAAAACAAGAGGAAACTCTAGTCCTAGGCTGGGTTTCAAGAGATGAGAGGAAAGCTACAAATCCTATTTTTAGCAGAAACTCCAGTGTGGGATTGGTCTTCTCATACTGGATGTAAATGTATCATAAGAACATATCCTTAAATCTGGCCTTCTCACCTGCCTCTGTCTCTCCCTTCCCTTGTGTGTCTACTCTTTGAAACTGTAAGCCTGAGGACTTACAGAAAACTATGGAATTGTTTTTTTTAAAGGTACATTTAAAGATATTTTATTGTCCTATCATCTGCCTCATGCTTTCAGGATGGACAGGAAAAAGGATACTTTTTTTTCTTATTCTTACAAATATAGCAAATTTGGTAGTGTGCCTGCCTTGCTGCTCTTTTAATAATTCCAAGTTCTGTAATATAAATTACCTCTAACTGATCCCAGAGTTTTTATTTTAAAAATTAATATGAAACAGGAACAGAAGCACTCTGTGCAAAGCACCAGCAAAGACCAAGCAATGAAATTATCTTTTCTGCAACACAGAGACATGTATACTTCATTATTTGCAGAATGTTCCTTTCTACAGAACATTCTCAGCTTTGATATTCCCTTTGAAAAGCAACAGAACTTCCCCAAATATAGGCAACTAAAGCAGCTGTCAGGAATTATTTTTGCAAGTTCACCCATTTAGACATCTTCTATTTAATGGTTCAACTATGCAAACATCCTGACATTCTCCTGCAACTCTGTTGAGTTATCTATTATCAAGTTGCATACATCTGATATGGGAGGATACTGAAACTGTATTTTAACACAACTGTTAGAATCATATGTGCTTGGAAACTTCATGTAAATTTCTCTATGTACCTGCAAAACAAAAACACTGCTCTGTATCTATACCGCTGAGCGCCCATCACTTGTCCCAGCTCCCGCCAACCTAGCGGTTCGAAAGCATGCAAATGCAAGTAGATAAATAGGGACCACCTCGGTGGGAAGGTAACAGTGTTCCGTGTCTAAGTCGCACTGGCCATGTGACCACGAAAGATTGTCTTTGGACAAACACTGGCTCTATGGCTTGGAAACGGGGATGAGCACCGCCCCCTAGAGTCGAACACGACTGGACAAAAATTGTCAAGGGGAACCTTTATCTTTACCTTAGAAACTAACCTTAAGCGAAATTCCTTCATAGCGGTGGCCATTTTGGGTGCCTCTAAAGCGAGGCAAAACAGCGGGTGGCCATTTTGGAACCACCTATCAGCTGTACTTCGTCTTTCTCTCTCTTTCCACCCCTCGCAACTCCAGCCTCGGCAGGGAGACTGACAGCCTCGGCAGGGAGACTGAGGCACCACCGCTGCCACCCTGGCCGAGAAAGACCCTCTGCGCCTGCAGCAACCTTAAGCTGGCCGAAAATGCGGGCTTTGCAATGAGTGCTTTCCTGCGATCATCGCAAAGCGAATTTTCCCCATAGGGGCCATCGCAAAGCGATCGCTTTTGCGATCGCAAAAACAGTGTCGCAAAGCGATTTCTTCGCTATGCGGAGCAATCGCTATGCGAGGCACCACTGTATATCTAAAATATAGCTCAGAGTAGTGCTGCACCCATCGTTCCATCTGCTGTGCTTGGTCCTGGATGATCACGCCTGTAGCAGTCTTCAAAGGAGCAGATTTCCTCTGTATTGGACCTAAAGCCTGCTTGATACTGTCATACATTCCCTTGATGTTACCTGTATCCACTGCTATCTGTATCTGAGAGCAAAGCTGAAGCCAATAATCATTGGAACATCTCCTGGCAGCCTGTTGG